AACTGATATTCACAGGAGCCAATAGCGTCACAGGGACCCAACAAAAAAGCCACATTAATTTATTAATTGCGAATCCACCTAAAAATTGTTGATACTATAACAGTGCACACACACGTCCAACTGTCCAATTTATATTAAATAATCTACAGCGAAACTAGTGAAAAAGATTAAAAACACACGGAGCACAGCTCACACACGTCCACACACACATTTAATTCTTGGTTATGAGAGGACAAACTGTAAAAATTCGTAATTCCATTAAATAAAATCGCCACGTCATGGAGACAGTTGTCATCGAAGAATTTACGCACATAATTTTGTAATATACTCTTATGTACGACTTGTTAATAAAATTGCTCTTATATAACACATTATGAGTTAAAGTTTGGCTACTAATATTTGAAGGTGACTTCACTGCGGGTAATGCGTTTAGGAGGTTTTATTGTTTAGCCCAGCTGTCAATGTGTCCATTATGACTGTTTAACGAAGTTTACAAAATTTTCGAGTCCTCCCGCTGGTAAAAGTGCTTAAGACGATTAGAGTGTGAAGAGCCGTCACTAAATTCGTTCACGAGAAAATTGTAACAAAAAGACGAATAACAAATCCCCAGAACATAATAACAAAATTCGATAATCTGCAAATCTTAATTATGTCCTAATCTGCATATACTACCATTCGAACAGATAATCACCAATCCCCTAACGTAAGAACAAAATTCGCATATTCGTAAATTGCAAATCTCATTGCGCTTGTCAGGGATTGCGACCAACATGCGTAGAACCGTACACCCATAAAAATCGTCAATCACAATTACTTTCATCCGAATTCGTACCTAAACTAAAACAGCAGCAGACGAAACACAGACGCATAAAAAACAGATCAAAGAATGCCGCCTTTACAAACAGATGCAATAGGCTGACACAATGTAGCGATGACGACATGGGAACCATGATGCAAAAACCCGACGATTTACGACACAGTAGTCACATAAAAACGTCAGGAACGTAACCATATTCAAATTAAACTCTATAAAACAGGGAAATAAAACATAAAGTCGCGTTCCGTGTAACACATAAATTAAAAAGAAATATGGCTCACTAACGTCGCGGGAGACAAGATAAATGGGTAAAAATCCCTATAAAAGCAGTAGCGCAGGAAGTGATTTTAATTCAAGTTCCGAGTTGTAGTGGAACACTGTCCGTTTATGTACCGAGTTTTTTTTTTACTATTTTGGGTGAATTTTGGAGAAATCCGAACTTAGAAAAATTTGCAGAGACCGAGAAGAAGATAGAAAATTCTCTATGGTGCATTTGTGTAAGTCTGCATTTCAGTCATACTTAACTTATCTCGCTCTCCCTCTGTCATAATGTGTTCTAATTTCGGCCGAACCTATTAAGCGTTTAATTTATGCATTTTTGTCGGGGCTTTTCTATACGTTTGGTGTGAACAGATAGCGCCGGGGAGAAAGCAATTTTTAGCGTTAACAGATGTTCTCGTTTGCGGGTGGTACTCTTGGCCTTACGTCAGCTTTTGGTCGTCGGGGAGGATTTTTCGATAATTTACCGATCGCTTTTTATGAAAATTAACCCAACTTTTCCTTAATACCCGGATTTGACCCCTACATTCGGGACACGGACATTTTAGATGGATTTTTGGGACCTTTCCAAATCGAAACCATGTTAATCTGATTTCCTTGAAGTCGATAATTTTATTTTGAATTTATTGTCATTCAATATGATCCCGTTTTCTGATTATTTTGCCATAGTTTTGGGAAACCTCGCATTTCATTTTAATTTAATAATTTCACTATACTTTAGGGCATTTATGGTACTAATTTCTTAATTGCTAATAGCTGTATTTAAAGACTGTGACCATTCATTTTTGCGTTTATTTGATTGTCCCGTAACCGCTGATTTTCTCGTGAACAAATGTTCGCGCTCCGCGTATATAGCTAATTAAATAATGTGAAATTCACTTATTTCTCTCTTTGCATGTTTAATTTCACAAGTTAGTGTAGATTTAAGTGCATGTTTTAATTCGTTAATTTTAGTTATTTTCTTTATTCTCAGTGGAAAAATTCTTTGATTTCCACTGAATTATTAATTTTAATTGTTTTTATCTGTTTTAATAATACTTAGATAGCGGGTAAGTGCCCAGTCGCAGTTTATTAACTACTTAAGTGCATTACTCGAATTCGTATCTGGTAGTTTTCGAAATTTAGTTTTCACGCACGTAATTATTATTACTGTTTAGAAGGTATCGCACATAATTAGGGATTCACTAGGGTAATTTTAAGTTTTGATATTAATAATGATATTAGAGGATTTTTAGGATTAATTTTAAATAGTTTGGTGGGTTATGTTTGTAGATTCTAAGGTTTTCAATAGTGGAACACAAATGCGTAGCGCTTTACATATAATGTTTGCATATTTAGTTGTGTAAGTTTAATTTCATGTTTTATTTTGCCATTCGGCATTTACATATTTACTCATCTATCCTTTTATTATGCTTGTAGTTTCATCTTTCAATATATGTATTAAAATGCTGCAGCGTTTAATTATTACCTCTCCCCCCATATGCAGTTTAGCTTTTCCATTTCCAAGAAAATGGGCCTACACCGAAATAAATAATTTTGTTAGTGTCCAAATGCTCGCCGCGGTTAAAAACAATTTGTACACGACAAGAGATTAGTGAAGTCACCTCCAAATAGCAGTAGCCAAGCTATACAAAAGATGTTTCTTTATATAACTAGTATTATAACTAAGAACAGCCAATATGAAAACTTAATTGATTGACAGGATTTAATTATTTATAAAAATACTTATTAATAACAACATTTTTACAGCTTGAAACGTCTATGCCTGACGAAGATAACTCTCCTGCATTTGTATTATTACTTTCAACACTTCCACTAAATTAAGGCCTTCAAATTTGCCCGAAGTTATGAAAAAATCACGAAAAATTTTCGTTCGTGTGTTCCGTATTTTAACGCAGAAAACATGTCCTTCACCTTTCACGTTTTCAAACAGCAAATTAATTCATTCCTCCTTCCTACATGCATCCGCAAATCTCATAATCGGAACCACCTAAAAATTAATTTCTAAGTATATGAATATATCGGGAAAAATTTTAACACCTTCGTTAGTAACAATTTTTCAACTTCACCTTCTTGCAGAAACGTTGTCACATCGCTTTTAGAGAAAATATTCGATTGTTTGGGTTTATACCCTTCCGACTTCCTCAACAAGTTGGATATATTTGCTAATATAACATTTCTTTTCATAGCTATCATCATATCACCGCCCTTATCACTGAATAATACGCCCAAAGGCTTGAACATTTATAACGCTTGGACAAATAATCAAAATAAGCTACTAGTGACGTGCGATCAAAAATAAAACACCTGTAGTTACTGTAAATATTTTTTGAACGTATGGCGTACCTAACATCGTACAATACACATCTGTCAGTGTCAAAGTCGTTCTGTCCCTTGTATCATTGCTCTAATCTGTAGACTAGCTATCCAAGGTTTCTTAATAGTGACTAGGTTCTGGTTAGTGCATACAGCGAGTTTGTAGACAGACCTGTTACAGGGGGCAGGGGGGGCATCAGTCCGTTATGACGTAGAGAGTACCTCGCTAGGGTTTTTGGGATCTTGTTGTGAACTACTCTGATTGTGATTACGTCCTGGCTACAAAGGTCAATTTGTAAACACAATGCCAGTTTCGGCAAAATCGCTCTTGGAAAAAGTAACTACATTTAAAACTAATTTGATCGCTCGTTACCTTCTCATTAGCTTCATTTGTATTTTTTTCTCAACGCACCACAAAAATTGCAAAATATGACACAGTGTTTACAACTAAATTGTTTGGTTACCGTGGCAGTGAATACCTACTCTTATGATTTTTATTTGGCAAAAGAAATGTTTTAAATTTGAATTAAGAAATAAAAAAAATCTACTTTTAAGAAGTCGTAGATAAAACGTATATTACATGTGTGACATTGGTCTTATAATACTAGTGCTCTTACTTGAGTCGGGCTAACGCTCTCGTCTGAGAACTCATCGCACTCGTAATTATAATGATGCCTCTATCCAATTTGTAGTATAAATAACTATTTTCTGCTCATTATATAGAAAATGTGATTTTCTTTTCCCATTTAACGGTACAAAGTGTCACTTTACCTCCTGGCGGTAGGTAAAACTATTTTTTTGTGCTACCTCAATCGAAAACGACATTTATTGACATTGTGTCCTTCAAGCGAAAATGACTTTATGAGGATCTAAACTCAAATCCATAAGGTTGTAACCACTCCCTAGTGTAAATTTTTAAAAATTATTCAGTGTAAATCTGTCTTTTAATAACCTGGTGACATATTTGGTGACCTGTCAATATAATGTCAGTTCATTCATGTATTCGCGACACATGATTACGTTCGACTTCACTGCAATTCTTGCACTCCTGCACAAGTTATTTCATAATTATCATTGTAACTTGTCGCAATATTGTAAAAACTGATAAACAATTTTCAATAAAAACAGGATAACCTGAGTCTTCATGGTAATTATAATACAAGAGCAACGATAAATAGAAACGTGTTTTATCTTTCATCTGTAGAAAGAATGCCACCTGCTGTAATTTAGACTTGCAGTCGATACGTTTACGAATTACGATAAAATGAACCCAAAAATATTGTGGTCACGAATGAAATCAAATATTGGGCTGGTAAAAAAACAAGGTGAATTGATTTATTTATTGTTGCTGCTTCATAAAAATTACTTTACAGATGGGGAATAACTGAGATATTCAGAATTTGTTTAAATTATTGTACATGAGTATACGTGATAATTATATGTGTGGCTAACTATGACTCGAAGGATCAGCTCTCTCGACTGAAATGATCAATCTCGCGAGCAACACCAAAATTGTCTATAATGGGTAGATCACCTTAATTAGTTGCAATGGATGACCAATTTTTCATCAAAAAAATGGGACACCAACAAGTCTTTAATGTTATGTTTAATAACTCTAATATTTGGTACTACTTATTATTTACAAAATGTACAAGGGATTTGGTTGAAGGCGATAGGTCTGGCTATGCTCCTCCGTCCTGACGATTTTAGTGGTAATAATGAACAAAATGTAACTTCACAAAATTCAGAGGCTAAAATAATAGGTATGTTGAAAATAATTTGACGGCTTATTTAAACTTACTGTTACAGGAGTGGTTAGAAACATTGGGAACACATAGACCAAATAACCAAAAAGCAATTATTTTTCTGTTGTTAACTTTCTTAAATCTGAATCCCATGGATTTTAATACTCAACGTAAAGTATTTAAACTTGCTGTATATTCTGGATGTTCTTTCGCAAAAATAAACAAATCCTGAAGAGTAAAAAACTCATTTTTTTTGTTTTTGTCAAATATACGGTAGGTTAGATCTTCTTTAAATTCCAAATTTGAATACCACTGCGATTTTTGTTTTGGTTTCCACTTTGCTTCTTGTAACGGTTCTCCAGATTGGTGTTGGGTTATAATTTTGTGGGCTTGACATCGAGAACACTATGGAAAGGATAGGAATTAATGATAAGTTTACAAGGAAAGTATGCAGTGCTTGAATTTAATGAGGGACATTTAGTTGTATTGTGTAGGATATAAAGAGTGGGTATAAAACTTGAAAAGACAATGTTGTACTAAAAAGCGAGATATACACTTTCAACTTGAGATAGTTAAAACTAAAAGTCCTTCGACATACCACCATGTTGTAATAACATGAAAAAAGTTCCGAATGTCGATACGTTACTCTCATAGTATAGTACTCTCTTTCCATGGTATAAGAATAACTACATACTGAAAAGATTTTTACAAGCTTGAATTCAAGTTCTCGGGAGGATGCTTGGGGATAAGCAAGTTTCAATTCATTGTGGCAGTTGGCAAGTGCCATTTTCATCTGCTTATTTACCACAATATGCCGTGTCGGTACCATTTTTCAATGGTATGGTTTAATAACAAACTGTGAGATATTTAAATAAAACTCTCTCGTGCGTAATTGTCAAATTTTGACATATGCGCCGCTACCAATCTGTTCATGTGAAAAACACCATTGGCTGTAATGCCAACCTTACAATTTAACGAGTGGTTACAACCTTATGGATTTAACTGTAGAGCCGAAAGTAAAAAATGTTAATAAAAAATAATCCAATATTGCCTAATTAATTGTTAAGTGAACAAAATGATGTATGCGGTATTTGCACTTACAAAATTGAGTAAAAATTTAGATAAATATTTTTAAAGTTAAATTACTAGGGTAAATTTGTTTACACGATTTCGGTTGGTATTGCTTCAATGTCAGCATGACATCAACTGTTAAGTTTATTCTGTTTAGAAATTTTTATTTTACACTAATGCATTTGGAATCAGAGGTTTCTTTTTGGAATGTTCAATTGATATAATTGGTGATTTTACATTGAGGAACAAGGTAAATAGTTGTTTGTGATCCCTTGGTCTCCTGCAATTATTTACTATTAAAAAACATTAAGGTGGATAAAATTTCTGAAACTAACCTACCGGACAAACTAAACTGCCTTCCAGACAAATATTGTTCTTGCAGTGACAATAATGACTTGGTTAATCAAATATCAAGAAAATATTTATTACAAAACTAATAAGGTGTTTACATTTGTGAAAATTAACAACTTATTTATTAACATGAAAATTTATTTTGACATTCTTAGAGTTTGAAATGGTAGGACTTTGAATCCTGCAGAGCCACATTTGCAATTTGAATATTTCCAGGAACACAATTTGATGAGGTTGCTTCCACGACTACAAACTGTACATTTTCTGTGGAAACACTTGTCAGTTCTATCCTTCTGCATGCCCCAGAACCCGCAATAAGTAAACCAGCCTGAACAAAGGCAGCTAAATTTCGATTATTTTGATTTATAATATATGTACCTTCATAAATAAAAATTTGTCATCAGAGGCTGTTCTTAAAAAAGTCTCTGCATGGGCCTTAATATTTAAGATTTTTTCGGTTTGCCATCGCTCTGCCTCTTGAGAAATGCTATGGGTTTAGGATATTTGTCCAAATGTACGAAATTTTTTTGCAAACAATGTCGTTTTTAGCATTGAAGAGGGTTTAAAAGTTCCGGACTTGATTTTAAAATAAGCTAAAAACGTCGTCTCAGTGTGTCTATTTTTAATTTTGTTATCGTCTCACCGTTTTCTAAATTTCTTCAACTCCTCTTCATACCGAGTGCGAGATTTCGCAGGAGGCAAGACCGACAATGCTTTTCAACGTATTTTTCTACATAATCATTCATTTTACAGCGAATTCACTTTATCGGCACCAGTTTCAAAGTTTTCATACAATTGTTTCGGAATTGTTATTGATTGCTATGGTAACGGAGAAGGTAGTGGCAACATATTTTCAGTTTTAATATAACAAGTGATATGATTATTATCGATTATTTACTTCATTGTAGATTTCGACCAATAGTAAAGCAACAGGATAAAAATTACAGCGGTAATTTTCGATAATTTTTCAAGTAGCTCGTCATTTTGTTGGTTGCTTTGAAAACGAATCAATAATTTTTTCATTATATGACGTTTGAAAATAATAGTTATTATATATGAAGCTCCGAAAATTAGACTTTGTATCCGATCGTATTTGTAGCGCGAGAGGGAAGCTCGAGCGCCACAAAAGTGCGAGGGCGCAAAGCCGTTTCGGCGTGAGATATATACAACATTTTTTGTGCTACTTTTTATTTAAAAGATATTAAATAACATTATTATTTTCACTAATAAAATAACTAGTGAAATTGTCTTGTAACGAGAATATAATTCATGGATCACATGAGCCCATTTCTTCCAATAGAATTTGTTCATGCCCTTAGTTACATGGCTATCACAGCGACAATAATTTTATTACCTTATTGTAGTCTGTTGCTACCTAAATTTCAAAACTGTCAAATTTGACAAATTTTAGAATTTCATATTATGGCTTGCCAACTTTGGGGGCAAGCTCAAAACGACGAAATCAATTCTATTATCAAAAAATGTGTTCATTCATTATATTCTCATGTTGAATATAACTCGTGATATGATTAATAATAATCGAAGATATGGCTCGTGAAACCGAAGCAGCACATTCAACTCGTGCTACGCACTCGTTGAATCTGCAGCTCGGTTTCACTCGAAATATTATCGTAAGTAATCACACGAGTGCTTTGAAATTATCGGTAATTTCGACCCGAAAGCTGAGATCAAGTGATGACGAGTGTCACTTTGACGTTTCAATTGGTCAAAGATGACACGAGTGATCACTTGCTGAGCTTGAGGTAAGTTCCCCATGAACGCGTATTTGCGAAGTGCGAATGTCGCGTATCTCCATTCGACCAATGAAATCCATGAAAATTTTGTACGCGCGTATCCAAGGTCACTTCGCTTCGAGTTGATTTTACTTTAACTTTTACGCGTAGAAAAGAGGTGCTACGGCGGTCAAATTCGAATGGTTTGCAAACATAACCTCAAATATTTTTCCGGATCAGAATCTCTCATTGTGTGTGACAAATTTGCACTGGCCCCTTGCAATAATCGGTTTGTTACAGTAAAAATAGGTCGCACCCAAAACTGTCTTTCATTCGCTTTCTTTGCTTCCAGATACAAGGCGTACACTTTAATAATTTTTTTTCGTACCTAATGCTATCTTCCTTACTTTATTTTTCCTTTTTCGGTATATAAAACATAATTTCGTGATGAGTTCTTGACACAGCTCTACTGCTACTTTCTTATTATATTTCCCCATTTCGAATTACATATGAAAGTAATGACAGATCTGATGACAACTTGGTTATATTTTGAGGTTATATTAACTTATATTTTATGCTACGCCTTTACGCGTTTTACGTTTATACGCACGCAATGGGGAAGCTATGTTTAAATGCAAGCTTGCGAATGCCAACGATACGCGTACGCAGATTCGCAAAAACGCGTAGATGGGGAAGCGGCCTGAGAGGGTTGCAATTACCTATAATTTCAAAGCACGAGCTATAATTCGGTAAGATTATTTACTGAATAAACTATTACATTTTCTCATGTCATAACCTCAGTCTTTGAGAGTTCTGGCCAATTGTTCTTCGCTGGTGGTTGCTGTCAGTTCGTAATTTCTGTCAGTGCAAAACGTCATAAACTGTTTCCACACATTATTTTTGCACTTTACCGTGTCCTCTGTTTAATTGCTTTGTTAATTTCCGCTTCTGAATGATGACCAAAACGATTCATTTTGCGAAATTCAAATTATTGACAGATAATTGACACTTATATGGCGTTGTTAGGTACCGGGATTTAAGTATCATTTCTTTGATAGCGTGTTTGAGCGGCGCATAAGTACTACTTACTCTCCACCGGCGTATAAATAAAACATTTATACTCCGCCGGAGTATAAATATGTGAAAATCATAGTGGTTGTCAACCATATTAACCATGGTAAGTGAAATCAAGGCAATACCTTAATGAAGCAAGAAGATAGGAAATAATCATTTCAAAAGAAGATTAATCGTTTGAAAATAAAATATTGTATTTTATTCGGAGTTTAAGTGGGTTTATGTGACTCGAATTAACTTAATTCGTCTCGCTATCGCTCGGCGTTTAATCGTCCACACTCCGTCACAAATAAATATCTGTTGTTTTTTTATTTTTTTATAGATATTTATTTTATTAGGAGTTTAAGTGATACTTTCGGTGACGGAGTATGGACGATTAAACGCCGAGCGATAGCGAGGCCAATTAAGTTCATACGAGTCACATAAAGTCACTTAAATTCCGAATGAAATACAATATTTTATTTTCAAACGATTACTCTTCTTTTGAAATAATTATTTCCTATCTCCTTGCTTCATTAAGAAATTGCCTTGATATCACTTACCATGGTTACTATGGTTGACAACCACTATGATTTTCACATATTTATACTCCGGCGGAGTATAAATGTTTTATTTATACGCCGGCGGAGTATAAGTAGTACTTATGCGCCGCTCAAACACAGTGTCATAGAAATGACACTTAAACCCCGGTAAGAACGTCATATAAGTGCCAGTTATATGACGTTTGAAAATAAATATATATTACCTCCCGCTGGGAGCTAAAGTACATTTTTGTCAAAAATGACGTTTATAGCGTTGCCTCACTTACTACTTCTAAAACGTCTGGAGGGGTACAATTATTATCTGAACCACTACTTTCATCCAAATCCTTCATTATTTCCAACATTAATGCGTTTTAAGGAGCACAAAACTTCAATTCACAAGACGCTTTGTTCAAACGCGATTAATTTTTTATTAATTAATTAAAGTAATTAAACCCTTCTTTTTTGTTCTAGCTTTCGAGACTTCCTTCGTCTCATCCTCAGGAAGCTGTAAAACTCTTTATTGAAAAATCTAACAAAATTTTTGGTTAACGTAAACTAAGCATTGACACGTTTACACTTATGACACATTAAAACTGAAGTTAATTATTAACATTTGAATTTTTTTTTCTTAAAGAGATATCATAAATTCTTCTTTGTAATTGTTAAATTAAATCATTTTTTCTCCTCTTTCTCCTTTACACACGTTGTGTGACCTTAATCTGAATCGTACCAACCTTCAGCGTCTATTCTTCTATTGAATTGTCCTAGGGGAGAGTTTATCATTTCGGTTGCGGTAATCTGGGGACGTTGTTTTTATCTAGATGAAGGAGATATGAGTAAATGATGTTGAGTCCTTCTATATCTGTTTTGGCATTGATTGTATTGTTGTTTTCATAAATGTTCACCATTTCCATGAAATTCCTTTTTTGTGTGTGTCGTTCTTTGTCTATCCTTATATTCTTAAAATCAAATCTATGATCTTGATCTATAGTATGTATTACTAGGGTGCATGATCTTTTATTGTTCTTTATATCGGATTTGTGCGATTCTGTCTTTTAGGCGTCTTGGTGTTTGTCCTATATAGATTTTTCCACAGTCCAAACAAGAGATGGGATGAACGACATCGCATGTGGTTAGATGCTCGTTTGGGTCTTTCAGTTTGGTGAATATGTTTTTTATTGTAACTGAAAGACCCAAACGAGCATCTAACCTGAATCCGCGGGAGGAAATGTTTCACTTTGCTC